AATCTCATTCTTGGTCAAGTGTAGCTCGAAGTAGCGATGGAAAATCACAAAAGAGAGAATTTTACGTGGAAAAGCAGTGAGATACATTTGCATTCACAAATTTGTATGTTAGCAAGAAAGTATCTTAATAACCGGTAGACAACCACGCGTGTCGGTGTTTACAGAGAGAGAAGAGTCTTGTGACTAAAAAGCAGCCACAAACAGATCGATAAGAAGTACAAAGTGAGCTTCTGCCACAACGCAAATCCATATATGTGAGATGTTAATCATTACAGACTCCTCGGGCTGTAAGGGTCCTGTTTAGGTTAGCTAATCTAGGATGGCGAATGTGCCAATCGATAAAAGGGAGTCGGTTGAATTATCTGAGCAAAATGATTGGCTATTTGGTACAGTTTGAAACTGACTTCGACATACCACCAAATAATTGCTTACCGAGACTATCGGCGAGATTAAGCTGGATTTGACCATCGACGTGAAACTTAAGAAATCCAGCTTCTCTGTGTTTTGGCACTTTCTTGAGGAAATAAGTTGAACGAAAAAAACACCCACAAGAACCACCACTCAGCGAGCTACACTCATTGTGACGAACGAAACCAAATGTGCTAGCTCACTGGTACGCGAAATTTGGCTGTCCAATGTTCTCGGAGATGATATCCTCCTCGTATTCGAAGGGGTCGTTCTGATGGAGAAAACTCCAGCACTTATCTCGCCACCGACCATCGATTCGTGAACTACCACAAAATACCGAATTGACCAAATGTTGCTTACCCTCAGCCATAACCCAGGAAACGATATAATTTTTGCCTCAAGCAATACATTTTTTCAAAGAAATCATCATGAATTTACACCACATGCATTAGAATAGGCAAGCGTTTTATAGCGACTTCTCTGAACTTACGCGCAAAGCCACAATCGACGAGAGGCAATGCAGGAAATAATCAGAGGTTTTTGAAGCAAAAGACGCCACATTTTATATGTGCGTATGCGGAAGTGATGCGCATTTAACTGATCCTCGAGCAAAGTTCCATTTGTTCAACAGAAATCACGAAATTGGATTGCAAACATCTCACCGAAGTGAAAATAAGTCCATCATTCGCTTCATTTTGGGGCTTTAAATTATCCGAATTCGCACTTTTTTCACATTTAAAAAAATTTGACGATTTTCCATGGAAAGTTCAACAACTGGGCTTCATTATTTGCATTTTCCGTTTACAATAAAACGCTATTTGGCTTCGGATTGTTAATTAATTTGTAAGGATTCAACTCGTCCCATAAATTCGATTTTGGACGACAAACGCGGTTAAACATGACGCCATTTAAAAGATTTGAATGAAATCTCCTAATGGCGTGGACTGAATAGACTTATCCACCCTTTGTTTGGCCCAAAATTTTCTAATAAGTCTTATTCCCAAGAGGAGCACTCATTCATTCACTTCCAAACCCTAAAAGTCATCCAATAGGAATAAAGTTTAAGAAAAACGCTTTAAATGGGTGACCTAAATGTACAGCCGGAAAACGTGCCACGGATGCCGATGAAAGCTGATCCAATTCTGATCTTAAATAAGCAATCCGCTCGTCCAAGTGCGTCACCGCCTTCCCCACGCCAGAACTAACACAAGACCTCGAAAGAGCTTTTACCATCTCAACTAAGGTCCAGGCCACCTGTCGGAATAAACAGCTCACGTGTACGATGACCCTTCTACAATTATGGCTGGTGTGCATTTCTGCTGAAATTCACAAAACCGAGATTTATACAAATGCTGTATTTTCGTAACAATAATCAAATTACCACAAGGAAATCATGTAAAAACGTGCTGGATTGATGGGTCAGCAAGATGGCAGCGCAGGGTATACTTTCGCCCAAGGCACCACTGTCGGGCAGGCTTCAACTTCGGCTACCAGATCGTGGAACAGTCGCCACAGTCTGCCATCATTTATGCACAGTGTCCCGCCACCACGACCAAACTGACTCATCTGGAAGACAAAAGAGCAGCATTTCACTCTAAATCCACTACCACCAATGTGCAGCTAAAGCAGGACAACAAGCTTATTTCTTTATTGGTTCCCGAAGGCCTGCATTTGATTGGTTTGCTCATGACAGATCGCTAAACAAGACATCGCATTCTTGTGTGTAGGATTAGTTGGCAGATCGAATACAACGTGAGGAAACAAACGAACACGGATGATAATGGTGATGATTAAACCTCTCGAAAGTTGTGCTTGGATTGGTCGAATAATTTCTTGCATGAGTTCGATATAACGACAGCTGATTGGACAAATCAACAGGGCAAAACGTAATCAAAACGTCAACATAATATCAGAATTCAGTTCTCAATGAATCTGGCACT